TTTCTGAAGAAGGGTCCAGACCCGAAACATCAGCTTTCCTGCTCCTCTGATGCTGCTTGGCCTGCTGTGTTCATCCAGCTCTACACCTTGTTATCTCAGACTCCAGCATCGGCAGTTCCTACTATCTTTCATTTGAACCAGACTATATTTACGTGCATTAAAGGCACCAGGAGGGTCTGATAACTGAATAGGCCCCCACTGTACTTTGACAGAAAGAGCTCAGACAGTGGTCTTTCCCCGCTGCACTTTGGCAGCTGTTGCCCCAAGCTTTAACGTGTCCCTCAGCATGTAGACCTGAGCCTTGGAATATGCCAGTCTGCAACACTTACTCGAGATCAACTCCTTGTTCTGGAAGACCAACAAGTTTCAGGCAGACCTAAAGAGTGTCTTTCACCGAGCTGATGGCCCTCCAGCTGCAGCTGATGTTTGTCTCAGTGTACAACTCGTGTAGCACAGTCCCGCGTCAAGAAACTGCTCGGGACGAACCTCAACACAAACCACTGCATCTTACTCCAGGGTTCCTTTGTAAAGGAGATGTGGGACAGTTCTCAACTTGTCCTGCGGCAGCCACTTTGAGGGCAGCGTGTGGTGTCACAGAGACTCTGGGTGTACATGAAGGATCTCACAGATGGTGCCCTTCTCACCACCAACCAGGCAATGTACTTGGTACTTGGTTCTGGTGAGGAGGCATTCTGCTGAATGACTGTGACAGTTGGCTCAGGGAAACACATGACAGGACCCAGCCTCTCCTCTTCCTGCTAGCTCCCAAGGACACTACGTGCTGACCACTTGGACTTGTGACCAAAGGTCTTTCTCTTTACAAATTTCTCCATGAAGGTCAGATGGTATGGAATGGTCCAACTATTTGGAGCGTTCTGTGGTAACACAGGTGGTATGGTGGCTCAGTGGCTCAGTGGTTAGCACTGCTGCCTCACAGTGCCAGGGACCTGTGTTCAATCCCAGCCTTGGGTGACTGTCCATGTGGAGTTTGCACATTCTCCCCTTGTCTGCGTGAATTTCCTCTGGGTGCTCTGGTTTCCTCCCACAGTCCAAAGATATGCAGGCTAGGTGGATTGGCCATGCTAAATTGCCTGTAGTGTTCAGGGATGTGTAGATTGGGTGGGTTATAGGGGGATGGGTCTGGATGGGATGCTCCGAGGTTCAGTGTGGACTTGCTGGGCTGAGGGCCTGTTTCCACACTGTAGGGATTCTATGAACATGGCCAATCCCATCCTTCACAACACCAAAGAACATCATGACACTTGGTTTCTTTTTCTATTCATTTTGTGGGATGTAGGCATCGCTGGCTGGGCCCAGCATTTCTTGTCCATCCCTAGTTGCCCTTGAGAAGGTGGGGGTGAGCTGCCTTCTTGAACCGCTGCAGTCGTCCTGCTGTCGGTTGACCCACAATGCCATTTGGGAGGGAATTCCAGAATTGCGACCCAGCAACCGTGGAGGAACAACGATGTATTTCCAAGTCAGAATGGTGAGTAGCTTAGAGGGGTATTTGGAGGTGGTGGTGTTCCCAAACATCTGCTGCCCTTGTCCCTCTAGATGGAAGTGGTCTTCGGTTTGGAAGGTGCTGTCTGAAGATCTTTGGTGAATTTCTGCTGTGCATCTTGTAGACAGTACACACTGCTGCTACTGAGTGTCGGTGGTGGAGGGAGTGGATGTTTGTGGATGTGGTGCCAATCAAGTGGGCTGCTTTGTCCTGGATGGTGTTAAGTTTCTTGGATATTGTTGGGGCTGCACTCATCCAGGCAAGTGGGGAGTATTCCATCACACTCCTGAGTGTGCCTTGTAGATGATGGACAGGCTTTGAGGAATCAGGATGTGAATTACTCGCAGTATTCCCAACATCTGGCCTGCTCTTGTAGCCACTGTTTACGTGGTGAGTCCAGTTGAGTTTCTGGTTAATGGTAACCCCCAGGATGTTGATAGTGGGGGATTCAGTGATGGTAACACCATTGAACGTCAAGGGGTGGTGGTTAGATTGTCTCTTATTGGTGATGGTCATAGCCTGGCATTTGTGTGGCGCGAATGTCACTTGTCAGCCCAAGCCTGGATATTGTCCAGATCTTGTTGCATGTGACCATGGACTGCTTCAGTATCTGAGGAGTCACGAACGGTGCTGAATGTTGTGCAATCATCGGCGAACGTCCCCACTTCTGACCTTATGATAGAGGGAAGGTCATTGATGAAGCAGCTGAAGATGGTTGGGCTGAGGACACTACCCTGAGGAACTCCTGCAGAAATGTCCTGGAGTTGAGATGGTTGGCCTTCAACAACCATGACCATCTTCCTACGTGTCAGGTATGACTCTAACCACCAGAGCATTTGTCCCCTGATACCCATTGATTCCAGTTTTGCTAGGGCTCCTTGATACCACACTTGGTCGAATGTGGCCTTGATGCCAAGGGTTGTCACTCACACTTCACCTCTGGAATTCAGCTCCTTTGTCCGTGTTTGAACCAGGGCTATAATGAGGTCAGGAGCTGAGTGGCCCTGGTGGAACCCAGACTGGGTGTCATTGAGTTTGGGTGTTTGTGCACCGAGGGTCTGCGCACACACACCCAAAGGTGGCCATCAGGATGATGGTGATGTTGGGTACCTTCCTCCCTCCCTTAGCCAAAGTTTTGTACATGGTGTTCCTACAGACACTGTCCATCTTAGACCTCCAGATGAACTGGAAGATGGCTCGGGTGACTGCAGCAGCGCATTTTTGGGGAATCGGCCAGACCAGCACCATGTACAAAAACAGAGAGAGTACCTCACACCTGATGACCAGGTTTTTACCCGGAATAGAGAGGGAGCAGTGCTCCCAAAAGACCAGTTTCTGCCTAACTTTGGCAATACCTTCCTCCCAAGATTTTGTGCACCCCAGCACCTCTGAACCATATTCCCAACACCTCCAGGTAGTCTGCCCTCACAGCGAAGGGGATAAAGATTTGGTCGGCCCAGTTCCTAAAGAACATGGGCCTCATTCTTGCCTCGTTTTCCTTTGGATCCCGAGGCCAGTTCAAATGGTCACAGATGCTCATGAGCGTGTGCACGGACAGCAGGTCAGAGCAGAAAATGGTGATGTCATCCATGTATAGGGAGGCTTTGACCTGCAGGCCCCCGCTATCTGAAATAGTCACCCGTCTCAGGCTCACATCCTTCCTGATGGACTCAGCAAAGGGCTCTATACAACACACAAAGAAGGCAGTAGGAATGGGCAGCCCTGCCTGACTCTAGATCCATTGATTGTGACTGCACTGACAAAGCTGTGTAGAGCAGTCAGATCCAGTCACTGGTTCCCTTTCTAAGCCTCATTTTGGAGACCATGTCCCACGTGTACATGCACAATATGCTGTCAAAGGCCTTCTCCTGGTCCCAGCTGATGAGGCTGGTGTCTGCTCCCCAATCCTGCATGTACGTGATTGTATCTCTGAGGAATGTGAGGTTCTCAGAGATTGTTCTGCCCAGTACAGCACAGGTTTGGTCGGGGTGAATCACCGATTCCAGAGCAGACCTGACCCAGTTGGCGATGCCTTAGACAGGATTTTGTAATCTGCATTCAGCAGTGAGATTGGTCGCCAATTTCTAATTTCCTCCCTCTCCCAATTCTGCTTGTAGATGAGGGTGATGGTACCTTTCCTCATGGATTCGCACATGGTACCTGGCCAGAAGCATACAGCAGGTCCTGGCCAATCAGGTCCCACAGAGCTGAATACAACACGGCCAATAAGCTGTCGCTTCTGGGAGATTTATTCTTTCCCAAGGACTCGAAGGCCTTGCTCAGCTCATCCAGAGATATCAGCTGGTCCAGGCTCTCCTTCGTGCTGTTGTCTAAAACCTCTGTGAGAGAGGACAGGAACGACTGGGAGGCTGCAGTTTCAGGGGGCTTCGTGTCATACAGTCTGGTATAAAAGGATTTGCTGACCCTCAGGATGTCAGACTGAGATGATGTTACTGAGCCATCTTTTTCCTTCAGGCTGCTGAGCACGGAGATCTCCCTGTGCACCTTCTGGAAGAGGAAACATGAACACGTCTCATCCTGCTCCACGGAGCAGACCCTGGAAGATTATCTTGGAGGCCTCTGAGGCAAAGAGTGAGTCTTGCTGACTCTTTACCTCCTGGAGACCCTCTGTGACACTGACCCCCATTGTCTGCAGCAAGAGTAGGGCCTGCATGCTTTACTGGAGTTTGGACAGTTTTCCCCATCTCTCTCTCACCTGCTTAACACCTTTGAGGATGAAAAAAAGCATCTTGAGGTTCTGGTTCCCCTTGATTGCTTCTCCATCAGTCTGCTGGAGACTGAAAGAGGGGCTTCAGGGTTCTGTACCCTGTGTAATCTCTTCTAACCTCCTCATTGTGCTCTGGGGTCAACAGTTTCACAATTAGCTTCCACATTCCCTTGCCAGCCCTTTGGCCGTCTTGCAGGTGACAGCCAGCAGGAGGCAGTGGTCAGAGAAGAAGACTGGGTTGACAATGGTGTGAACATGCGAGGCACGAACAGGAAATCTATCCTTCAGTGGATAGACCCGCCTGGCTGTGAGCAGGTGTATGTACACTGCGCTGTGTCTGCAGGGGTGCTGCAGCTCGGTGACTTTAACCATTTCCATCAGGAATCTGGACGTGGCGTCCTGACAAAGCTGTGTAGCCCCTCTGGATCGTCCATCCACATCAATGATGCCATTGATTTCTCTGGCCTGGACATTGCGAGGGTGAGTTTCACTGCCGTGTGAACACGTGCAGAGGCTGGGACACGGGACGGGAGACTCAGCTCATTCCCTCTCAGTGAAATTGACAGCAGTGTCTCAATCGTTACAATCAACCCAGCCCTTCCGTCCACTTTTCTACACACTACTTTCATTAATTACACCAACAGCATGGGTTCAATTCCCACACCGGCTAAGGCTATTGTGCAGGTTCCAACTTCTCAGCCTTGCCCCTTGCCTGAGGCATGGTCACTCTCTCTCTGATGAAGGAGCAGCCCATGGTCCTTTGGGACCATAACAGAATTGGGACTTTACCTTTAAGGGGTTGGTTCCTCAGTTGGATGGCTGGCTAATGACACAGTATTAGCTCCAACAGCATGGGTTCAACTCCTGTGCCAGTTGAGATTACAGCGCAGGTCCTGCTTTTTTTAATCTTTCCCTTTGCCTTGTTTGTGGTGATCCTCAGGGTAAACTCACCATCAGTTGTCTCTCTGTAATGAGAGAGCAGCTCTTTAGGACTGTGGTGATTTTATCTATAACTAAGTCACTGTGTCAGCTCTCAATGCAAATGACCTGGAGTTTGTATTCTTCTGAAAACAAGCCATAAGCGACGTGAACAATATTGTACTCTATTTACACATGTGTGATCTTTGGAAATTGCATTTTTACCATAAGTAACAAGCTGCCTCATTTCAGATTTCCCTGAAATATTACTACAAGTATAAATTCCCCTAAAAGAATTTAGCAGCTACTCATGAAATGAAACATCTGCAGTTTCCTGGGCAGTTTCAGCGAGTACGGATGGGGGAGGGTGTGTGTGTGTGTGTGTGTGTGTGTGTGTGTGTGTGTGTGTGTGTGTGTGTGTGTGTAACAATTATGTCCCAGCTGTTATTACATACAACTGACCATGCAACTTTCACGAGGAGAGACTAGTCATTTACTCCATCACTGCCAAACAAGGATTTGCTTGCTTGTTTTCCATACTGTGAATGTGACTCAAAAATGTCAAAAACAATACAACACTTTGTTTGTGAACCTGCTTCAGGATGTCCTAAGGTCCTGTGATGGGTGAAATAGCTCCACAGAGGCCTGTATACCGTCACCACATCACCCTATGTTTACACAAGGAGAGTCCTTGACACTGATCCAGTTTCCTTAGAGCCAGCTCTCTGTGTGAACAGGATGTCCAACATCCGCTTCTTATCTGTCAGCTAGGGAACTAGATTCTGAGATCCACCTTGCTGACCTTCTTACAAGCACTGCAACAGGCAGGTCAGAAATGTAAAGCCCTTCAACTGGAATACTGCATGGTAACTGACGGTAATCGGAACTCAAGCATCTGGTGTACATGAAACTAGATACTGCAACTTTTCTTGATAATGGGTTCATTTACAGAATGTAGCTTGGTGTCAGCTACCCATCCAGTGTTCCCTCTTCATAGCTTTATTTTCCCCTTTATTTTTATTACAGGATGTGGGCCTCACTGACAAGGTCAGCATTGGTTATCTGAGTAATTGGTTCAGCCATTTGGAGAATGGTTAAGAGCTAATTACATTGCTGTTGGTATGGAGTCACATGCAGGCCAGACCAGGTAAGGGTACCAGATTAAAAGATATCAGTGAACCAGATGGGTTTTGACAAAGTTCAATGGCAGTTTTATGGTCACCAGCTCTCAGACTTTTTTTATATTCCAGAATTAAATTTAAATTCCACCAGATGCCTTGGTGGGGTTTGAATGCATATTTCCAGGGTATTAACCTGGACTACTGAATTATTAGCAGAGTGACATTTGTTAAGATTTCAGCTGGTGTTACTATTGGACAAGTAAGATCCCAGAATGAAATCTGGCTTGATAGATCGTATGTATTTTTATAAAGTTACTATGGTAATCAGTTACTATAATGTAGTCACATGAGGCTGTTCTTTACTCACGTAGCAGAACTTTTCCTCGCACAAAGGAAGAAATAAATTTTAAAAAAGCAATCTAAGTGTAGAGCAGTTAAGTGAAATGTTACAGCAACACAGCAAAACAAAGTTTTCGATCTATTTTTCAATCTTTTAAGGGGAGGCAATGGCCCAGTGGTACTATCACCAGACTGTTAATCCAGAGACCCAGGTAATGTTCTGGGGACCCGGGTTCGAATCCCTGCCACGGCAGATGGTGGAATTTGAATTCAATAAAATACTTGAAATTAAGAATCTAATGATGCCCATGAATTGGTTGTCAGGAAAAATCCACCTGGTTCACTAAGGTCCTTTAGGGAAGGAAACTGCCATCCTTACCTGGTCTGGCCTACACGTGACTCCAGACCCACAGCAATGGGGTTGACTCTGGACAATTAGGGATGGGCAATAAATGCTGCCTGGTCAGCAACACCCTCATCCCATGAATGAATAAAGAAGAAAAAGATAAATTCCTGGTAATGGGGAATAGTCCAGAGATAGTACACCCCATTGCTCAAATCCTTTGGGTACTAATCAAACAACTCCTTATAATTTCTTTGCTATGAATTGTGGAGATGATTCAATGAATCTTTTTCAAATAAACCAACGTGAACTCTTCAGCAACTCTGAGAGACTAAGCTTCATTCCAATAATCTGCAGATTTCTAACCAATCTCTCTGGGTTTGGAAATTTCAAGAAATAAAACTTTTCTCTTGAAGTGGCTTTGTTTTCTCTGTCCCGTCCTACATTCCTATAAAGAGAGAAAACTAAAACTTGCGCTGACTCCAGGCACGTCTCCTCCAACATGCCATAAACTAAACTTTCCTAATCTAAAATAAATCTTTGATTATTCTCACCTGAAAACAAGCTTTCATATTTAACCTACCAGCCATAAACCCCTGATATAAACATTGCCTTCCATCAACACTTCAGGCTTCTGCAGTGACCCACTCACTGGATTATGTCATTGTTTCAGAAGGGCTTTCTGATGATTTTTTAAAAACTCCCTCCACAAAAATAACCAACACCCATATACCACTATTCTGATAACCAAACTCAAATTTAATTTACATATATCTCACATATTTAATCACACACTACCGCAATGCCACTCTCCCCGTAAATCACTGGACCACCATCATTAAAGTGAATAGTCTGCTTATTTATCTCATCGCTACTTTTGGGATCTTGACATGTGCAAACACTCTGGCTGACACACTCCAACTGTATTCACATTTCTAAGGTGATTCACTGTGTGTAATGCTCTTCAAGACACCCTGATCTGATCAGCATAACAGAAATGTGTTGAGTTCAGCAAACTTAACACAGACCAGAATTGGAAAGGAGACTTTCATCTCTCATCTTCTCGCACTGCAGTTTTATTAATCAGTGCAAATACCTTGTCCAACAATGAGTTGAATTTATGATGCCTCTCTGCCAACAAACTGTTTCCTCTTGTCCACAAAGCACCAGAGTTTGAAATTCCACAAGCTGCCATGGTAGGATTGAAACCCTACAGAATTAGCCTGGAGCTCAGGATTATTAGCCCAGTGATATTCCCACTGTGACACAGGCTTTCTATTGCTCTATTAGTTGGGTTTAACCTTAGATTGCTGGCCCAGAGCAAGAGTCACCTCACTAATTTAAACATAATGTGTCTGAGTTTGATTTATTTGTCACATGTATTTTGTTACAAAATACAGTGGAAGGTGTTATGTGGCATTACCACTCTGGCTGGCATCACGAGGGAATATTCAGTTGGGGTGGTTGTTGAGACTGACTGGTCATTTAGTTGTCGTCATATTCATGAAGAAACAGCCTTTGGCTAGTGAATTAATCAGCACTTAATGTCAAGATAATATCATCTTCCAAGCCGTTGATTTCTATCATCCACAATGACAATTTCAGCAGCTACAAGTGAACATTGGAACCTGCAAGTTCCCTTCAGTCATGTGCCATCCTGACTTGGAAACATACCTCCATTCCTTCATTGGCACTGGGTAAAAATCCTGGAATTCCCTCCCTAACAGCATTGTAGGTCTCCCTACAGCACATGGACAACAACATTAAGAAGGCAGCTCACCACCAGCTTCTTCAGGGCAGATAAGAACGGCACCAGATACTGGCCATGCCAACAATGCCATAAGGAGAAAAATATTTCCCTCCTCCCCCACTTTTGTAGAGTTTCTAAGCCAATACACTTGATGATGCCCATAGTCACTGTTTGTGACAAATCCTATTAGTCAAGGAAATGAGGTTAAAGAGTGAGATTGGGTCACTTTCCTATTCTGGCTCACCAATTGCTGGTAATGACCTTCGTCATAGCACTCAGAAATGACAGAAGCTTCCTGTAACATTGGGCAAGGCCATCAGGTTGTGCTTGGGAATTAAATTGTGATGGTGAATGTCTCTCAGACAATTACCTATCTTTACTCTTTCGTGGGATGTGAATGTTGCCGGGAAAGCCAACATTTGTTGCCCATCTCTCGTCGTCCTGGAGCTGCGTGGCTTTCTCAGCCATCTCAGGGGGCAGTTAAGAGTCAACCACATTGTGTGGGTCTGGAGTCGCATGTGGTCCAGACTGAGTAAGGCCAGCAGGTTTCCTTCCCAAAAGGACATTGGTGAACCAGACACCAGCTTTCAATGTGAGGTTCTTTAACTGAATTGAATTCCACCAGCTGCTATAATCCTGTATCAACTACCATGTTAACCTGGGACTCTCTAGAGTCCTAGTCCAGGGACATTACCTCTTAGTTATCATCTCACCCCATCTCCTGATGACTTGCCAATGGAAGCCTGAGTGGCCATACTCAATGTTTCCTGGAAGCTGAACTCAATGGACTCTCTGTTTTGCACAATGTCACTTTAGCCTTCAAGCAGATATATAACCGAAAAGGGGTTGAAGTGATTTTGGAAAAGTTTGATTATTTGCGTTTAGAATTTCTATTTTTGACCTAGGGGTAAATATTAGAGAAATGCACCCTTCATTCAACAGCAAAGTATTTCCCCACAATCGATCTCCAGTCAAGTCAGATCATTCCTACAAACCTGTGGGAATATCT